ACCCAGTCTCTGGCCTGTCCTTAGGTGTACAAGCAGAAGGTGAAGCACCTGTTGCATGAGCAGCAGGAGACCCTGACAGAGCTGAAGGCAGAGGGAATCCTGTCCCTGAAGCGGGCCCAGAAGGATCACTGGGACCAGGAGCAGGAGCTGTGGAAAGAAAAGCGCTCCTTGAACATCAAATTGAAGGAGCAGGAGTTGGCCAATGAGGCAGCGGTGACAAACCTCTGCCTGGTACGTCCCTGACCAGGCTGGAGCCACCTGTGAGGCACCTCAGCCACAGGGTGGGAGCAGGGGCAGGATCCTGCCTCCCTGGTTCGCTCCATGGGGTGGGGTTTCTGGTCCAGGAATGGGGAGGAGGGATTCTGGGATGACCCCTCTCCTGCAGCAGGGAGCTGTGAGAGCAGCTGGAGAACCTCCAAGCCACTGTTTGCACCAACATTGGGATCAGAATCCTTTCCCAGGGAGCAGGAGGGAATCCCTGGGGGTGGGCTGACTCATGATTTGGTTCTCTCCTCTAAGATGGAGCTTCTCCCTTACAGAAACATGAGGAGGAGATGGCCCGGCTGCGTAGCGACTTCGAGGCACAGGCCAAAGGTCAGAGGAGAGGCAGAACCTGCAGGAGCAGGATGGGGAGAGTTGCTCTGGGCTTCTGAGCAGCACCTCGAGCGCATGTGGACTGGGGGTTCCCTCCAATTCTGGCAATTTTTTCTGTCCTAGTTCTGACTGTTTTTTCCCCTCAGTTCTGGCCAGTTGTCCCTCAAGTTCCAGCTGTTTTTCCCAATCACTTCTGTCCAGTTTCCTCCCCAAATCTGTCCAGTTTGCCCTCCAGTTCTGGCTGTTTTTTCTCCCCTCCCCATTTTGGTCACTTTTCTTCCCCAGTTCCAGCCAGTTTTCCCCCAGCTCTGGCCATTTCCCCTCCCCGGTTCCCTGTGCTGTGGCAGTGCCAGCCCTTCTCCTGTGGGGTGGGATGTCTGGAGGAGCCTTTGCTGTGTCCTCACTCCAGTGTCCTCCTCAGGGGACATTTCAGGTTGTGACAGGCTCACTTGGGGCTTTTCCATGCCCTCTTTCCAAGGATGTCATTCTTGGGCTCAGCCCTCCCCGGGCCCCACAAGGGTCTCGATGCCGATGTGGCGGCACAGGAGCTGGGGCATGGGGTCTGCAGGAGGCCCCCCCTCACCCAGCCCCCCTGTGCCCCCCAGAGATGGATGCCAAGTACAACAGGAAGATGCAGGCGCTGCGGGAGGAGATGGACCTGCGGAGGAAGACAGAGATCCATGAGCTGGAGGAGAGGAAGAACCAGCAGATCAGCGAGTTGATGGGGAAACATGAGGGGGCTTTTGGTGACATCAAGAACTACTACAATGATATCACTGCCAAAAACATGTCACTCATCAGCCTCCTGAAGGTACTGCCTATCCCTGTGCCACCCCTCCACCCAGGGACCACTCCTGCCAGGGTGTCACCTGGATTTGGCAGTTCCCAGTTGTTGATGTGGTTGCTGCTGGTGGGCTGAACATAGTCACATGAGCAGGGAGGGTGTCCTGAGGGTGGGGGTGGGTCTCTGAGGGGCTGGGCAGCTCTCAGGAGCCAGCACTCGTGTTCCTAAGAACAGGAGCAGGTGGAGGAGATGAGAAAGAAGGAGATTGTCTTGGAAAAGGAGAAGACAGATGTGCTACTGCAGAACAAGGAGCTGACGGAGCCACTGCAACAGGCCCAGGAGCAGGTGGCTGAGCTGCAGAAGAAGTTGGCTCGCTATGATAAGGACAAGGAGATCCTGATGGTGCGTGGCCAGCCCAATCCTTTCCTGGGCTCGTTCCTGGGGGGAAAGCAGTGGCCTCTGCCACTCAGTGTGCTGGGATTGCTGGGCAAAGTGAATCCCATTCCGCTTAGCTGTGTGTTTGTGGGATCTCAGATGGGGATCCAGAGAGAGATCAGAGTAGCCCTCGCTGCAGAGAGGTTGGTGTGGGGTTGGCCTGGTTTTCTCTGCTGCTCACTCTCCTCCCTTCCTAGAACACATCCAAACAGTTCCCAGACAATCACGTGCTTCTTAACGCTCCCTTCCTGCTCACAGAACTCCAAAGCCCGTCTGAAAGTCACCCAGAAGGAACTGAAGGACCTTCAGTGGGAACACGAGGTGCTGGAGCAGCGGTTCAGTAAGGTGAGAGCTGCAGGCAGGGCTGGACATCCCTTTCCCTCTCCAAACCCTCTACAGAGGACAGGGCGTGGGGGCTTAGCAGCGCCTGTGCTTAGCCGAGGGCTTTCCAAAGCTAATCCCGAGCCGGGCGATAACCGCTGCTCCCAACAAAGCTGCTCCCAGCTCCAGCCTCTCCCACGGTCAGCAGACAGGCCTGGCCTTGTACTTTGCTAAGCAATCGTGCACGCTCCAGTGGGCCCCCCGGGCTACCGGGGGCTGCGTGGGGCAGAGCTGGGAGGGATTGCCACGGGCCTCTCTTGCCGGCGTTCCAGGGTTGCTCCCCTGCTGGTCGGGGCGTGGTGGCTTGGGATGAGCCCTGCAGAGTGAGTTCTCCCCCCCACTAACCCAGATAAATCTGTTGAGGCAGGAGAGAGCTCATTTGCAATTCGTAGAAATCCCCAGGAATATGAACATTGATCCGAGGCCTCGTTAACAATCCATCATTAAGACAGCGCCAGATTCAGAGCGTTCAGAAATAGACTTTGGAGGAGAGGCTGTGTCCCAATTAGGACACTTATTAACTAGCTGTGAGCCAGGGATTGCTGCCAGCTGTGGGGAGGAGAGGAGAGGAGAGACCCCCCTTTGCCGGGGGGCCCTTGCTGGAGTCTGAATTAGTGCCAAAGGGAGCCTGTTGTGGTGTCCCTTGCCTTGAGGGGAGGAGGAGGAGGAAGGAGAAGCACAGGTGCTGCACCATGGAGGGAGGAAGCTGTGCTGCAGCACCTGTCTTCCCTGTGGGCTGCAGGTGCTGTGGGGAATGGCTGGGCTGAGCTGCCAGACCAGTTTGCTGCCTCGTTTGTGCTCCACACCATTAAGCAGACCCCAGTCAGGCTCCTGTAGGCCCCTCTGTGCCCCCTGAGTTCCTGAGGGTGGTGTGACACCATGCTGTGCCATCTCCTGGAGCAGGTCCAGGCAGAGCGAGATGAGCTCTACCAGAAGTTCACCAAAGCCATTAATGAGGTGCAGCAGAAGACGGGGTTTAAGAACCTGCTCCTGGAGCGGAAACTGCAGGGACTCCTCAGGCTCCTGGAGCAGAAGGAGGTGGAGCTCGGCGAGGTCGTTGCAGTCTCTAACCTTGACCCCAGCGCCCTGTCCTTGGTCTCACACAAGCTGAAGGTACTGGGGACTGGCGAGGGCAGGTTTTGGGGGGCAGAGCCTGCTGTGGAGTGCCCACAGCCCCCAGAATGTGCCAGTCCCTTTCCTGTGGGGCTCCAGCTGCCATGTCACTCCATACTGGCACTCCCAGGGCCATGTGCAGTGCCGCGGGGCACTCGGCTCTGCCTCTGGAGTGGAGTGTGTGGGTGTCAGAGTTTGGCACTGATCTGTCCCTAGATGGGGCCTGTTTGGAGGAGCATGGCCCCAGGCCCTGCGGCACTGCCAACACCCCATGCTGCCACACAGCTGACTGCTGGTGGGTCCGGTGGCTCCCGAGGGCTCTGTGCACAGGGGTTGCACCCAGTGAACCTCATCTGGCCACAAGGGACAGTGCAGACAGGATCCCGGGGCTCTGCGGCATCTGCCATGCTAAAAATACATCTGCAAAGAGCCCAGAGACCCACATTCCTGCAGCCTGCCACAGCCAGAGCTGGGGAGCAGCGCTGGCTGTGGGTCGGGCACAGACATGGAATGACAGCTCCACTGCCTCGGTGCCCTCCCGCTTGTCCCCATGCAGGTCCCCACTGGGGGGAAAGCTCTGGAGTGCCCTGGGAATGGGTAGCATGGCCGTGGGATGGGCAGCAGATGTGTCACCTCCCAGCAGGTGGAAGGAAAACACATTCCTGGGATGGCGTCATGGCGTCGGGCTCTCCCGCAGCTGCTGGGGTCCCCAAATTCCTCTGCTCAGCTGCCTTGGGGAGCCTGGCTCCCTGTAATTCCCTTGGTGCCGTGGTGGCAGGGTGGTGCTGCCGTAACAGGTGCTGCAGAGCAGACCGGGATGGCTGTGGTGTTGATCCAGAAGGTCCCTGTCCCTGCCTGGAGCTGGCTGTCCCTGGCAGTGCCAGTTGGAGGGGGCAGGGTGGTGGCCACCTGCCAGGCTGTGCTGCTGGATGCTCTGCTGGTGCTGCAGCTCCTCCTTGTGCTGTGCCACACTGCTCCCGCCTGCAGCATGGCCACCATGTCCCCGGGGCTGGACAGCATGGCCTCACACCCTATCTCCTTCCACAGGATGTGCTCCACTCCAAGAATGACACCATCCAGGACCTGCAGCTCCAGTTGGCCCGAGTCTGCAAGGTGAGGTTGGGAAGGAATCCTGGAGGGATTTAAAAGCTGTGTGGATGTGGCACTTGGGCTTGTGGGTTAGTGGTGGCCTTGGTAGTACCGGGGGAATGGTTGGACTTAGAGGCCTTTTCCAACCCAAACGACTCTGTGATTCCATGTCTGTGGTATGGGGGATGGAAATAGGACCAGGGGGTACAGGAAGCCCCTGCCCTGGGGTGTGGAGGGCTGACGGGGACCCTCCTCTTACAGGCACACAATGACATGCTGCAGACCTTTGAGGCGAAGCTGACGGCCTTCGGCATCCCCCTGGACAACCTGGGCTTCCAGCCACTGGCCTTCCCCCTGCCAGGGCAGGAGCTGGGGCAGGGCCCTGCCGGACTTGTTTCGGTGCCCACCTGACACTGGCCAGCACTGAGGGTCCCACTGGCACACTGGAAGTGGGGCTGTGCCCTGTTCCTGCTCTGTGCCATTAAACAGACCCCAGTGAACATCTTTGGGACCCTCTCCTCTCCAGGGGAACCATGATGCAGCTGGAGGGCTCTGGGCATCCCACCAACCACACCAGGCTGCCCCTGGGGCTCCCTCCTTCACTCCCCAACCAGAAGGTGATTTTTTGAGACAAATGGTGGTGTTTGGAGCCTTTAATGGCATTAGTGGCATCGTTCCTGCATCCCTGAGGGGAGGCTGTGCCCCCCTAACTGCCCCGGTACGTTGTGTAGGAGTAGGGGCTGATCAGCAGTGGGACATGAAGCTTCTGTGCTGGATCAGTAATGGTGAAGATGACCTGAGGGAGAGCAAGGAGGCAGTGGTGGGGATCCCCCTCCCAGAGCCGGGCCCAGGGGGTTACAGCCCCCTCAAGCCCGACCGTGGCCCCAGACCTGCCCCAGGCTCCCCACGCTCCGTACCTCCACATAGGGGTAGAAGCTGGTGTGCCCCAGCCCCTGCCAATACGGTGCTGTCTCAAAGTGCAGCTTGTAGGTGCCGGCCTTGGCCTGTCCCGCTGCCAGGAGGGGCCGGCAGCGCCCATCCGTGTCCGTGTACCTGAAACCAGACCAAGCCAGCCCTGCTGTATCCCCAGAACCTGCCCTGATCATACCCCTGAGCACTGGCCCTGCTGCTGGCAGCCCCCAGGCGAAGGCTGGGCAGCTGGTTGTGCCAGGAGCCTTCAAACAGCTCGCAAGGGACCGGCGCAGGCAGTTCGTGCCCATTCCAGTGTCACCATCTCCTACCTTGTGCCAGCTCCCTCCACTGCGGCCCGGCTCCACCAGCTGGTCCAGGCGGATGACGCAAGGCAGCTGCTGGGCAGCCCGTGACTGTGTTAGCACGTGGGTGGTCAGGGAACCCTTCCCCGCATCGGACATGCTGTCAGCCTGCAGCAGAGGGGGAAGGGGGTCTGGGACCTGTCCTGGCAGCACCGTGTGCCTCCCCTTTGGCTGTGCCATAGCCCAGCCCCTCCACCCTGCTGTGCCCCACAGCTGGGTTATGGGCCCCTACCTCCTTCCCATGCCACAGGGCTCAGCCCCAGGCACCACAACCACCATAGTGTGGGTGCTGGCTGGTTCCTGCTGGGATGCAGGGCTCTGTGCCTGCAGCAGCACCACGCTCCCTGTTCACCTGCCTGTCCTGGTGGGCCAAAGCATGGCGGCAGCAGCCAGCCTGGACCCAACAAGGAAGTAGCCCTGTCCCAGCAGCCCCATCCCTGCCCACAGTGTCACGTGTGGGTGGACACTGACCCCCAGACAGCTCTCTGGAGCTGTCTGGGGTCAAGGTCAGAGCAGTTGGGGCAGCTGGGCCCCTTCCTCTGCTGGAGCTCCCGGGCTGGAGTGGGACCACAACTCGGCACTGTGTCCCAGCAGCCGGCACGGTCAGGGCAGCCTCCCTGGAACAGACCAGCTCCGCTGCCAGCCCGACACCGGCACCGGCTGACACGGAGAGGCACCCCAGTGAGCTACCTGGCTGTCCTCGGTCCCGCTCAGCCAGGGGCCTGTGGCCGGTGACACTGCGCAAAACGCCATCCCTGGCCCTGGCCGCCCTTCCTGGCGCCACAGCCTCTCCCCACAGAGCTGGTGTGGCTGGATGCCGCTATCCTGGCACAAGGCTCCCGCAGAACTGGGTGCTCCTCCCTAGCTGGGCTGAGCCGGCACAGGCGGCTTCCCACTGGGAGCTGTGCCCAGGAGCCCCACTGGCACCCACTCTCCAGCAGTGCTGCAGCCCTGGGGCTGGTGGCCCAGAGCCTGGCGGGAAGATGGGGGGCCGGGCCAGGAGAAGCTGCCGTGGAGCTGCCATCCCAGCCTCACCTCCCACCACGGAAAGCACCTGGAGCGCGTTGGCGGTGCGGCAGCCGGGTGTGTGGGGCTGCTGAGAGCCAGCACCGGCTTCACCGCAGCCTCACCCTGCCCGTCTGGGCTGGGTGGGCAGCGGGGGGGCTCAATATCTCACCTGCACTGTGATGCGGGCGGTGGTGGTGGCTTGCAGCCCGTGTCCCCCCATGTCGGCTGCCTGGATCTCCAGCGTATATTCAGGGACCACCTGCAGTGAGAGGCTGCGTCACACCTGAACTGGGAGTGGGCACTGGGTGGGGGCCGAGCCCAGGACTCACCTCTGCCACTAGCCCTGGCACGGCCACAGAGATCAGCCCGGAGCTGCTGTCTATGGTGAACATGCGGGGCTGGGGCTGCTCCGGTGCCTGGCTCAGGATGGAATAGACCACGACTCCATTGTTGGAGCTCACAGCATCGTCTGCATCAGTGGCCAGCACCCGCAGCACTGGCATGCCTGGAGTAGGTGGTTATTGGTGAGCTGTCCCCTCATCCCCCCAGCACTGCCTCTCAGGCAGCAATGGTGGTCCCACCTGGCTCAGCTCCCTCTGGCACAGACCCATGGAAAGCTGCCTGGGAGAAGATGGGTGGGTTGTCGTTTCGGTCAGTGATGGTGATGATGATCTCCATGGGGTCCTCCACAGGCTGCCCGTTGGCTGACACAGCATGGGCATAGAGCTGTAAGAACACAGTCAGCCTGTGTGCAGCCCTCAGGACCGTCCCCCCCTGCTGCAGGTCCCACTCACTCACTGTGTATTTATCCTTCTCCTCCCGGTCCAGAGGCTTCGTCACCTCCAGCCACCCTGTCTCCTGTTCGATGATGAAGATGCCCATAGGGATAGTGTCCACTCCTTGTCCTGTGATGCTGTAGAAAACCTTGGTCTCCTTGTCCTTGTTGGATTTGATCTGGTGGTGAGGCATGAAAAGAGGGGTAAGAGGGGTCCTGGTGCTCCAGGGCCTCTCATTCCCACACCCTGTCCCCTCAGGGCCATGTACCTGCACCAGCTTCTTGGGGAAGGGCCCCCGGTCGTTCTCAGGGCAGTTGATGGGGGGAATGACCCAGTCCCTCTTCTGCCGCTGGAGGCCGTGTCTGTGCTCTGGGAAGGTCAGCGTGTCCCACGGGATGGAGAGTGAGGCTGCAGGACTATGGAGGAACGTGGCTCTGCCCCGGGGCTCTGGGGTGGCTGTACAGTGCCCCTGGCCCCATTGGGATGGTCCCACCAGGAGGAGGAGGAGGAGGAGGAGGAGGAGGGTGAAGGTACAGCATGACATGGCTGCAGCTGCACTGGCTGCTCCCCCGGGTGCCAGCTGGGGACCTTCCCTGTGGTGTCAGTGACCTTGGCTGCGTCCTGCCAGGAAAGCAGTGCTGGCTTTCCAGTGCTGCCAGCGCCGGCGGGGGGAGCCTTATATGGGGGCCCAGTGCATGAGATGCTGCTCCAGGCTGGGGGGGATAAAGGAGCCCAGGAATCCCCCAGGGCACTGTCCCTCGGGGGCCACAGGACCCCCCCCTACTCCAGCAGGGTTGGAGTGCAGACATGGTCGCCCCCGGGGGTCCCAGTGCCGGCCTG